ATTCCATGCATATGCTGCAAATATCAACTAGGCTCAAAGAACATGAATGAACCTTAAGACCACGAAACAAACTCATCAGGAGTTGCCGAACACAATCACGAAACCGGACATAAAATGTTATTCGACAAAACTAAAATTCTTGCATATAATCAATTCATTTGCCAACGATTTATCGTCTATAGAAATCTATAAGCAACCTAAGAATCTGAACCGAGACGGGGTTTATGCCCCTCATTAACGTTAGCAAATTTGACTTAAACAAAACCGACGCAGGAGGAATAGAGAAATTTCGTAAAAATAAATTTGTATTCACCTATGGAGGACTGTACCCCTGTACATCCCAAATAAAAAATCAAAGCTGACGCCACTTTTAGATACAGGCGGCACCAAAAATATTTTAGACAGATATCTATTGTTTAGTCAACTGTCAATACGTCAGTCGCTTTGTATTTCCAGATACAAAGCCGCTGCGGTTTAAATTAGTATTAATTAAGATTATCGAGGCCGCGCTGTACCTGAATACTTAACCGAAGAACAGCGGCTAGCGGGAGAAAAAAAAGTTAATTTCTCCCCGGCCCCCGGAACCCCCGTTCGCGTTCCAGATTTCTAAGAAAACGAAAATCGCGTTACGGTGGCGGGAAACGTTCGCGTTTTAAATTTTCTTAGTTCCCTGCCCGCCCCGTCCCGGGCGCATTAATTTTTCAGGCCGCTCAAGAATTTATAACGTTTTCTGGATGTATTAAAATTAATTATTTAAAATTTAACTCCCCGGCACAAATTTTTGTTAGGCCCGACGCGGCCGTAATGCCGACCTTATTCAGTACATTTTTACGCATAAGCGTCTAATAAAACCTTAAACAAAATTATTAATCAAATTAAAGTAAATTAAAGTAAAGTGCAATGACGCCTGAAAACAACTTCTTAATTAAAATTGCGGACGAGGACAATTATTAGAACAAAAACTAAAAAAATTTAAAGTGAGTTTTCTAAATATGGACTAGGTGAATAATGATTTTTGATTTTTTTCAATGGCAACAGCGCACTTAACGAAATATGGTCTCATTTCATGCTACACTGTAAGTGCATAACCTCAGTAATTCCTAAGGATGGTTCATTCGGTGTGCTTTTATCTGATGTACACCGTGTGCCAAATAAAACGATCCACTATACGATCTGGAAACTCGCAAAAGTGTCCCCCCACCCCAATCAACTTTGTTATTTTAAACGGAACACCCTATATATTATTATACATTTTTGGAATTCCTGGTTAAAATAAAGGTCACTTTCTTAAGAAAATCCTATTCAAATTTTGCATAGTTTAGGCAGAAATTGAGGTTGTGTGTTTTTTTTCTTTTCATATTTTGATTGCCCCATATAAATTGTGTTGTGACGCTCCTGATCCAGGTATTGCAACGAAAATTTAACCACAGACTAACTAGATGATGCACTACTCAATCAGTTTGACGCCTCAGCTTATACAGGGTGTCACAAATAGGTGGCGCCGTTTTGGCGATTTCAATTAACAAAATCTGAAGATTTCAAATTGAACATCCTATATATTTTTATTCAGATATTAATTCTAGCACAAAAAATAAGATAAGTTTGTAATTTATCTCATATTGAAATTTTACTTTTTGAGTTTTAAGATAACACACCTATAAATTCTTGTTGAATTTAAAGCTGAACACTCCAGATTTACGAATCAAACCTATTGCTAACAATACAGGGTGTCCACAGCGTAGAAGAAAACACTATTCTACAATATTAAAAAAATAATAAAAAAAATCTAAAATGCCTTATCATCATGGACTGTGTCGATGTGCTAGTGCATTCTCTAGGTTTTCTTTTTAGGTTTTGATGACAATCTGGTTGGGTTTTTCAGTTTTTTTAAAAGCGTTGTCGAGCATAATGGCTTCAAGTCAATTTACCGCTACCAGTGGTTCTCCTCAGGGTAGTAATCTAGCGCCAATTTTCTTTGTATGAATGCAGCTGGGTCGTTTGTTCCCAATGACTATATTTCCTCAAAAGCCGGATCATCGACGGCTAATGAATGGTGCTCCAGCTGGTTGGCATCCGTCAGGCTGAGGAGCTTTTCACTAAATGCTTTAAATACTTTTCGGAAATTGTCAAACCTTGCATTACTTCTCCCGTGCTTCTCATATTAGATGACCACATAATGTTCTCTATCTGCTATCACTCATTATGACAACTATTTTTGGTTGTGCATAGGTTCGAAGTCAGTGAACAACACCCGCTTAATCCATATGTTTCTCATGATCATGATTTTATTGAAACAACCCTGAACGATAATCCAGATGACGATCATTTCACACAAGATAACAGAAATGCAACAGTAGTAGATCAATCGATCATTCCAAATCTACTTCCAAGTCCTTCAACTGCCCCTCTTTTATAACCCCAGAAAATATTAGTCCAATACCCCGTTTAAATACGAAGAAAGCTGACAAAGCTGCTCCATTGACATCTTCCCCATATAAACTGAAATTAGAACAACCATTTAACCGGAAAAAAGAAATAAATCCTGAGAAAAAGACAATTTCGTAGAAAAAGTCACCCAAGGAGAGAAAACAACTAACTAACAGAAAAAATGTAAAAAAAGTCCAACTTGTAAATCAGGAGAATGGTGACGTTTTCACGATTTTAGTGATTTTTCAGTCAAAGATCGCTCCGATGAAGATCCTGATCCTATAGCCAAAGAAATGATGATGGTGATGGCTTGTTTTCGGAGGATGCTTGTGGTGAATTATGGGTTCATTGCGTTTCTTTCTCTCGATTGGCACATGAAGATTGCTCTGGGGTAGAATAGATATTTGTCTATACAAGTTCTATAGTAGCCATTAATATTATAGACCAAAGCATTTCGTTAAGTTTGTTAAGGGGAAAACCGTTACTTATACATTGCGGGATGAGTACTTGACTGCCCGGAATAAAAAAAATACTTTAGGACATTTTTTCTGTACTCCAAAAAAATCCGTACAGTCGTTCGTATTTAGAAAACCTACTCTAATATCGGAAAAGTCCCGCAGTGGAAATTGTGAGAGTGGACATAATATTGAAAAAAAGCGTTTTGGTTTTTTAAACTTAGAGACTTTGACTTTAAATTGTTGTGTGTATTGTTTTGACTGGTTTGCCCATGTTAGAAATAAAAAAAAAATAGTTAAAGGCACACCTCAAATTAAAAGTAACTAACTTTAGGGCATTCAATGGTTGGTTGGAAAAATGACGTAGGAGAGACACGATAAGTTTCAAGTGTCTATTCAGAGAATCAGCTCATCTTCATGTTATTCAAGAAGTCATTAATCAGTTTAAAATCCATTAGCTGCTTACCGATGAAACTTGTCTTTTCTTTACCGGACAAAAGTTTTACGTCAAAATAAATCAACACCGTAATATGTTATTGTTTGTGGAAATTCTCGTAAGGTAAAGCCACAAAATATAAAACCAAATTTTTTAGTTAAGCCTTCAAAACTGTAAATTCTATGAAAATGAAATAAACATAATACAAAAAATTCTTGACAATTATATTCGGACTGACGATACTACGGCCAAGGAAGTGATAACGTTAAACTTTTATGATGAAATTCAAAATGTCATTGAGTCCAATAATGCATCAGGAGACAGCGATCACGAGGATAACACTGTTGAAAGGAGAAACAATATTGCTTCGTATAGTGAGGCTGCAAAAGTGATTAACAACCTAAAGATTTTTGCACTACACTACATTTCAAGCTCTCAATAGTTTATAATATCTCTATAAATTGAAGAAAATAATGTAAAATATGCATCAACAACTAAAGTTTACCTGATTTTTAAATGGTTTTCTGTTTTTTAGTGTCATTAAGCCTATCGTCTTCCTATTTAGTTAGAGTGAAACTAATCAAAACCATGTACGTTTATTAATAAATGTGTTAAAATTCCGTAGTTTTCTCTGTCGATTAATAAAATCACTGGAAATCCACACTCAACATAACACAAAAAGTCTCAAAAAAAAATGTTTGTTTCGAATTAAATATTCGACTCGCAAACGCTGCGGAGCAGTCAGGTCTAAGGCTAGAGCTTCAGAAGAAAGAGATGAATGACTAAAATGGCAGAAAATTATTTTTTTGCTCTGCATTTCACTGCAAGGGGCGCAGTTGATAAACGTGGATCATAAAAATTTGGATTTCCAGGGCATTCAAGGGTATTTCCCCACTCTTATTACGATCGGTACGCCAATCAGCGTCAGAATTTTTTAGACTTTGTAATAATATTATTAAAGTTTTTTGTAGTATAGCAATTTTATAATTTTCGTAGAAATTTTGAATTTACATAATTTTATCCTGTCATAAAGACATGAAAAAAAAGCAGTATGGAGTCAAAGACGCTTTATTTTTGACAACGTGTGCTGTGTTGTGGTTTTTTAACTCACACCGTCAGGAAATTAATATGTTACGAGGCAAATAATATACACAATTAAATTACGTTCGAAGATATCTAATCTGGGAATCTGTTTCGGAGCGAGGGATTGCTTAATTCCAGGTAATTCACTGAAAAAAAAACAACGCAACAAAAAGGTACCCATTCGCACATCCGGCGAAAAATAATACATTTAATAAACTAAATAAAATCGCGGAAATATATATTTCCGAGCCATTGTTACGAATAATGAGGTCGTTTGTCAAAACGTCATTCAAATGTATATCTAATTTATAATTATTTCGCGTATATTGTGGCGGTTAATTGCGACAAAAACGTCTCTTTTGTGTGCGAGTTTTCCAAATGCCCTTGGAAAATAGTCATCATCAGGATTTTTATTATAACAAAGCGACCAATCGTACGATCAACACTATAACAACCGCATGTACAGGGTGTCCCGTTATCGTCCACTTTTGCGAGATAACCTAGAAATATGCCGTTTTTTGCAATTGTGGTGACCTTTTTTATAAAACGGAATTTCTATAACCTCTTAAAAACGTTTTACATTAACAGCTGATTCTTACCTGAAAAAATCTGTCGTCCGAAGTAATCTGAAAAAAAAAAGAATAAATAAAAAAATTTAACACAATTTAATATAATGCATTTTACGAATATACGTAATACGTATATATGAAACATAAGAAGAAAATTGCACCAATTAGGCATCTAATATTTTACAGTATTTTGTCTCGAAACCAAATATTCTCGAAAACAACTTTTCGCCATAAAAATTCATTCATTCATTTATTGTCGTTTATCACATTCTTTCTTGCAATATTGAAAATGCAGGACACTCGTGTTCAAGGATCCTCTAGTTCCAAAACAGAAATAATTTTAAACTAATGTCGATCTTAGGATAACGTTCATATCCCTCTACATAACATGAGGATGGAAGATTGGACATCTCAATAAAGATTTACTAATTTCATTATTGACAAACGCTGGTTGCTTATATTTTACCTTTTTGAAAATGGAAACATATTTTCATATCTCTATTGAAATGTTCTATCTTCGGTCGGTTAACTTATGTTGACGATATTGACTTTATCCTGAGATCTTTTATGAAAGACTAACTACAAGATATTTTGAACATTAATGTCGCACATTCTCATTATTGCGGCTGATCATTCATTCATGGTACCAATCTTAAAAAAAAAACTCCCTGCTTCGCAAGTGAATACATGGAACAAGAACTCTTGATTAACGTAATATTTAAATGTAATCTTTATGACAAAATTATAAGATTGTAGTATATGGGACACACAAGGGCATAAGTTTTTGGTTTTAAAATTATCCTTTAAACATATTCCGGATTACAGTGTCATTGTAATTACTCGTCAAGTAAATGATATTCATTTTGTAAGTTTTGGAAGTGCTAAATTCATATGAAAAACCGATATGTATGATAGTTTAGGTGAAATGATATACTATATACTATACTCCATTGTGTACTGAACCCCACAGAACAAATTTGAGTGATTTTGTTATAGCTAAGTAAATAAAATTAAATCTTACAATTTTTAAAACACCCTAGGAGGCCGTCCCTAATGCTCTGTCCTATAATACCAACTGCGTTCGAAACAGAAACGATAGGAACGTTAGCAAAATTGCTTTCGAAAAATCGTCACTGGGCGTGGCAAGTTCGAAGCGCGTAGCGCGAACAAGCTTTTCATTATAAAAGGAAAGGGCTTCGCGGTTTCGTATGGTAAAGGGACGCATTGTTTTTCTATCGTGCTCCCGCGGACCACTATAGAACCTTCGGAAAATCTATCTATTTTAATTGCGCATGCACCCTGTATAAAATGTCCTTCACATCTCGTCAAACTTCAAAGTTTCATCGGTAAATATTAAAATTTGCACAAATAATAACGTTGTCGAAGGACATTTTTTCGAATATCTCTCGCCCCGTACAATTGACGAAACATGAAACTCTCTCACTGTTCAAATAAAATTATCCCATCTTTAACAGTTTTTCTTCTATCGCCAATAATTTACCCGCAAAAACGGCCTTATTTGCGGCTAATAATTTACTATGTAAAAGAATAATTTTCTAGGTCTTTTACATTTTTGCCTATAATTTGAAAACCCTGTATATAATCCAAAAAAATGCCCGAAATAAATGTTATTGCACTGGATCTTCTGCGTTCGCCGATTAAAGAATTTTACCGATCGGGTGAACGATTATGGAAGAACACAATATTTCAAATATATTTAAAAAATAGTTGGTAATATTTGATTGCGTCCAACTTCTACAGTTTAAATGTGGACGCGGACTTTTACTTCTCTGCAAAATTTGAAGTTGATATCTGCAAGTTTAGGACACCTAACACATTTCTCACTTAGCGCGGAATATCGGGAACAACCTGTATATGTGAAAACCTTAAATGCAAAAGTTTTTGCTATCAATGCGGGCTATCTCGCAATATAAAATAAAGTGAGATCTGATTCATTTCAGTTATAACCAATTTTTAATAATAGGGGGACACATTTTTCAGTTTTATTGAATTTGCGGCGCACCCTGTTTATTTTTGGAAAATTGTCACGAATAAAAGTTTATAGTTTAAGTTTATCTTTTGCTTCTTCTGGTTCAAGAATTTTTTTGGTCTCGTAAACAGTTTTTGAAAAATGATGTTTTTTGTAGACCCTTGCACGCGCGATTTCTTAGTTTTTTAGATTACTTTCCGATCCCCCAGCCCCTCCATTGTCAATAGGTTCCATTACGGGGCAAAGCTGCATATATGCGCCAATTATGAAGTCGATTGCTTCAAATTTCGGACACTCATCGTGTTTCATAGCAAGGTCCAAAAAATAGTCGAAAATCGCGAAAAATATCCCTAGACCGGACGCATCCTGCTGAATAGACGCTGAATCAACGATTCAGCCATATAAAATCGACTGCCACCGTTTCCCGTGTAACATTAATGTAGTGTCAAAGCCCTTCGCTGTTCACATTAATTGTTCGTTTTTAGTTTTAAGAAAAGCCCTGTTTTTCGAAAATAAACCTTTTTTTAAAACGTACTTCGTCGGTCGTGTTATTTAACTGGCGCTACGAACAGGATAGTGCAATTTCGCCCTTTATCGGTTTTTCGTTGTGCGAAAGTGATTGTCAAATCTTAGTGCATTATCCGAACAAAAAGAAACCGACTGACTCCACGATCGCAACGGGACTGCTCAGAAATCCTGAAGGAATTTGAAGACCATAGCTCGCTACCGTGTTGTCAGCAGCTATATAGTCAACGCAATTCCCAGCTCCCGAAACAGATCAACGTCCCGACGTTAAGCCCTTCAGCCACGCCTTTATAGGATTTCCTTCGGTTGTGAGCCTCTGCAGCACAAGCTTTATGGATCTTGCCTTGACTGTACTACGTCGGAACTAGTATACGAAGACTGCTTCCAGTTCCAAAAAGAACTTCTTCAAGGTTGCTCCCTGATCCAGAGCCAATGCGACGTCATCATCGACAACCAGAAGTATTCCTTGGGTATAAATAATATATCCATTCAGTATCCGGAAACGACAAATCTTCAACCAAGCAACCTCACCATAAATCTACAAATAAAACACTTAGAGGATCCGACCCTTATTCAAGACGACCTGATACTGCCGATGAAAACCGAAAGATTGGTTCACCAAAACCAAACATATTACTGTTTAATTTTCTCATTATTGTGTATAGTTCTCCTGACTAGTTCCGGCATCATACTCTACCAATGGAGAAAACATAGACTCCTAGAAGCCACCCCTGTTAAAACCCTAGAAAGAATCATCAACGAGGACGCTGAAGAATCTTGAAATTTCAATTTTGTAGCTCCAACGGTTTGAAAGTTATTCAGGAAAAACCAAATGACGAAAACGGAGAACGGACAAACAGACAAAAAAAAATATTTTTCTTCGACGGTGATCATTTCTGCACCAACGGCGATCCCGTAGGACTCACCGTTACCGAGATATAAAATTTGTATACGAGCGCAGATACTTTCGCAAATTTTTTATCGATTTTCGAAAGTAACAAGCGTAGGTCATCTCTATCTCTATTTTATTTAAAGGGTACCGGTTCTGGGTTCCCTTAGCTAAGACGCGCGATTTTTATTCCTCGTTTGCGGATTTTTCGATTTTTAACCTGCTCCGACCGACATGGTCTGTCCATTGCAATTTGCTCGTATAAAATCCCAACACTGCCGGCTGCAGTTGTCAAAATTACAATACTTTTGTCTTCGATTTACATAATCGATCCCGGCGACGATATTTTTCCACCCGATGGCTGCCCGAAAATTACAGGGAACCGCCTAAATTACATTAAATTTGGAATGTTGCACATATTTATTATTATATATTAAGCGTATATATATGCATGGGTCCTCGTCGACGCAGTTTGTTATGGCCGAACCCTAATCACAGTGTTAATATTTTATCACGTTTGCGATTCCATAGTAATTGTTAAGCTCGAATTTTTATTTTTTCGTTAACCATATACCGAAAAAGGTAAATAAATAGCATACAGGCCGTTTTTTTGGTCTCCAAGTCTGAAACCAGGGATACGGTTCCCCCATTGTAAAGCGAGTTTGCTAAAAGGGTCACGTAACTAGTTTTCTCCCCACATTTACTTATATTTTCTTTAAATTCATGTATGTAAAAGATATTTCTACAAAATGCCTGACAGGAGATATATTTCTAAGGATTCTTTTTTGTAAAATCAATATTTTGTGATTTTGGTATTCCATATGTCAATAATACAATAATACACCCATAAAAGTAGGGTTCAAATTCCAAATTTCAAGACTGCGATAGTTCAAAATTTACCCATTGCAGAGGATTTTATATTTTTATATACATTTTATTGAGTTAAACTAATTTTTTGACAGATTAGAGACATCATTTGTATATAAAACGAGCTACCAAGGGCCCAGTTCGCTTTCTTATGCTATTCCCGTTGCAATTTTTATTTCCCTGAAATTACTTTTGATTCCGTTATGCTCATGGCTGGGAAAAAATGAGATTACATGGATATCTTTTTGAGTCATTTGGAAGAATGTATTTGAACGAGAAAAAGAGTTTAACTGAACAAAAGAACTTTTTTCTAAAATTTTGATACCGTAAACTGTAGGTACTTACCAATTTTTAGATAAATTCCAAATAAGAAAATTGCAATTTTCACAGCAAATACCCATAAAGAACGTTACAGGAAATGCTCAATACGGTGAACTCCTAGTTCAGGACACATTTTCATATTCGAAATGTACTTGCGTCTTTCACCAAACAATGCTGACAGTGGTCACGAGATTTTGTGCCTTCCGTTTCTCTCTCTCGATCCATAACGTGTCAAATAAGAAATCTTTATCGTTTTGAATGAAAGTTATTTTGTGTAATTCTGATCAACCTTTAAAATATTAATATTAAATTAAATAAAGAACACAATTTCAAAATTTTCTGCACATCACTGTAACTTTTAATTGGTTGCATACTCTTTTGCGGTATTTATATTTGTTCTTAACTGAGTTTTAAAAGTAAAACCGGAGGTATAAACCACTGGCGTATTCTATCGTATAACTTTGG